TTGTATATACCAAGGCAAAAATGTGGTTCGGATTCCACTATAAACTGTAGGTCCCTTAGTTGCCATTAGCTGTATGGGCTATTAATTAACAGCTGTGTCTAAGGAATATGTCGGCCTTAGTAACTAACAAGACTACAAGATCGCGCCACTCATCCTACACTCATCTCCATTCATACTTGGCTTAAAATACCTACTTTGTATGGTCGCCATTTCATCGAAAAGTATTAAAAAAGTATGTACTAATTTTAATAAAAACCACCTTTTTATAAAATTAGATTTTCCGTTATTTTATGGGTTTTTATAGGGAAATAAGTTAAAATAACTGTTGAACCGTAATTGCTACAGCAATGGGAGTTGTACAATTTTATTTAAAAGGTCTATAACATACTAAATTTTTCAAAATCCTTTAGGCCATTTTGGAGAAAATTCAATTTTACAGTTTTTTTTTTAATTGTTTGTTATCACTTAATACTACTGGTACTATATAATACATAAAATCAATACGCTCAACCCCTTTCATTTATCCCCTCAGTACATGGAGCCACTATGGTATAAGGGAGAAAGTAAAAATAATAATAATAATAATAATAGCAATAACTAGTGTAAAAATGGACCTTTTTTAATTTGGTACAAAGATTTACCTATATTTATTCAAATGAGGTCACAGACGAGGGTGATCAGTCTTTGAGGATTTTATTGGGTAAAAATTTGTGTTTCCAAATTTGACCCCCAACTCATAAAATATTGCAGTTTCTTTCTAAACTATTTTGTAGACAATAAAACAATAATTTAGAATATTAATGTGTGGTTTTTTGCCAAATGGTCACAAAAGAAATTATTCTTGTGCAGGATATATAAAGTCTTGAAACCTGTCTGTTAAGAAAATATTTTTATTAAATATGGATTTTTATTTTATAACAAGCTACGTTAAAGAAACACATACTTTAAACCATTGCTGTTGCAGCAATCCTAAGTACTCATCTCAAAATGTAATAATTTAAATAGTAAATCTGACAAAAAAATTAATCTTTCTTATCTAGTTAATATTAAATCATTTTTTATTAAAAAATAAATCTGACATTAAGGGAATATTTTACTGAAGATCCAACCAGGTAAATGGAAATTCGCTTAGTCTGCAGTTTCAAAACATGATCGGAAATGGTTTGCGGTATTTCAGTGACAGCTAGAAAAAATAATCTTGATCCGAAGAGCTGTTCATTATTTCATAGATGATTTTGGAAATTCGCTTAGTCCGCAGGTTTCCTTAAAATTAAGTATGTTATAGTCCTTTAAATTCTGATCAAAATGGTACAACTCCCATTGCTACAGAAATTACGGTTCAAAAGTTATTGTAACTTATATTATTTCCCTTAAAAACCCATAAAATAAGGGAAAATTAAATTTTATAAAAAGCGGTTTTGATAAAAATTAGTACAGTATGTTATATAATTCTTAACAAAATAGTGCAGCTTTAACAACTGGAATGTCTAACTCACAATACTTTACCTAGGACTATTTACAATTAGATAACTCACATTTTACAGTTCTGGCAACAATTCAATGTGACAGAACTCAACGGCCAACAGCAAGGAGCGTTTACTAAACGTGGTCACAGTGAAGTTTAGTGGATGTGTTTTGCACTAGAGCACTTCTACACTTGTGAGATGAGTGACATACCCATTAATCAAATAGCTTATAATTATTAATCACTAAGTTAAACGTTGCCAAACTCATATAAAGTATTAGTTACTATATGTTACCAAGTTAATGTGTAACACGACTACTGCCAATCTTATAATATATTAAAACATTTTTGGTTTTTCTTTTCCGAGTTCGTTTGGCTCTTCTACCCGACCGATTTTCATGATTGAGGTCACAAGTTGAAGGTATCCACACACAGGATTGCCATCAAGCATCAGCATATATTTATCTATAGTTCCACTCTGCTTATACATAAACAAAATTTGCTCCCCATGTATTTATTATTATGGGAGTTAAATTTTTTTAATCTTTGCCGAGTTTATTTGGCTCTTGTATCCCACCGATTTTCATGATTGAGGTCTCAAATTGAAGGTATGCATGCACAGATTTGCCATCATGCATCAGCATATATTTATCTATAATCTTACTCGGCTTATACGTAAACGAAATTTGCTCCCCATGTATTTCTTATGGGAGTTAAATTTGGTTTATCATTTCCGAGTTTGTTTGGCTCTTCTACCAGACCAATTTTCATGATTGAGGACTCAAATTAAAGGCATGCAAAGATTTCACATCAAACATTGGCATATATTTACATATAATTGCACTCGGCTTATACGTAAACGAAATTTGCTCCCCATGTATTTCTTATGGGAGTTAAATTTGGGTTTTCTTAGCCGAGTTCGTTTGGCTCTTCTACCTGACCGATTTTCATGATTGAGGTCTCAAATTGAAGGTATGCACGCACAGATTTGCCATCAAGCATCGGCATATATTTATCAATAATCTTACTCGGCGTATACGTAAACAAAATTTGCTCCCCATGTATTTCTTATGGGAGTTAAATTTGGTTTCTCTTTGCCGAGTTTGTTTGACTCTTCTACCTGACCAATTTTCATGATTGAGGTCTCAAATTAAAGGCATGCACGCAAAGATTTCACATCAAACATTGGCATATATTTAGTTACTGTATTATCCTACTCACCTAAAAACAGAATTTGATTCCTTTTTTAATTCTTACTTCAATTTAAGATGTACTTTACCAGTTACATTTATTTATACTCCTATATATATTTTGGTCTAAGATCCTTGAGTGAAATACAGGCTTTTATTTAAGCTAAAAGTTATTCAAATCGGCAAGTTTCAAGCAAACGTAAGGTGAACAACCACCATAAAAATTATTTTTCATTAGGTTTTTCTATGATTAAAAATCATTAGCTCCAGTATTATTCATGTTTTTATATATGTTTTAGAGTGAAAATTTAAAAACGTAAGTTTTCAAGAAAAGCACTTTATAATAACTTTTTTTCTCTTTTTTGGAACAGTTTTTATTTTTTTTATTTAATTGCCATTTGAAGTTTCAAAATGTCTATGGTAACGCAATATCCTTGGTGGTTTTTTATTAATACAGCATATTTGTCGGAAAAACACTAAATTCTGTCACGACCATAACGAACGTAAAAATGAATATTAAAAATAGTTAATGGTATTTTTATAAATATGTTTTGCTGTAAATGGATTTAGGTTTAGGGCCATTTTGCAATAACCAACTCACTAAACTTTTGTTATTTCTAAAAAAATTTTAAAAACGTACAAAAAATAAAAAAGGCTGAAAAAATATCTTTAAGTTTGTGATAGCTCCAAACAAACCTTCCCGATACATGAAAAACCTTTATGTTTTTAAAGAGGCGTCCTTCTTGTGTGTATCAAACATTTTAATATTATAATATAATGAGTGGTAGTATTAAGGGAAAAGGTCCTAGCAGCCCAATCAAATGCTCCTAGCCAGTTATTTAGGGTGACAACCAAGATAAACGGATGTCTGTATGGACGTAAATGAGCTATCATAATGTATTGCAATGAAAAGTTTTCCAAGCTGTAAGATAGATAGACGCAACAAAAATTTAGGTTAACTGTATCAATAACACCTGTTTCTAAATGTTACCAATTAACCAGCCAGTTGAGGCCCAATACGGGTTGTCATCAGGGTTACCAACCTTGAATGTTGGCTCATAAAATGCATGTAGTTCAGTTAAAGTGTGCGGTTAGAAGTTATTACATTAATATATAGATTTAGTTTTTAAAATTCTCCTATTTTGGAGCAACAATTCTAATCACGAATGATGTTCACCTATTTTTAAAATTTTCAATTTCTTTTATTTTCTCTGTTACCAATAACCGTACAAAACACTTTGATATACTAAATTATTTGTTTTTAAGCTCTTTAAAAAGGTCTAAAGAGAATAGTTCCTATGCTAGATCATGCTGGTTCACAAACTCATTCAAGTTTATCCCACCTTACACTTTAAACCAAATTTCATCGAAATCGTACGAAAATTACTCAAGTTATCGCATTTATGGACGTACAGTATATATATATATATATATATCAAATACATACATACATACATATAATTTGAACGAACTGTGTTTTTGGCCTCTGAGGACTTCAAAATAAAAAAGTAAATCGGTCCCGGGCCTAGCTGTGCCACTTATGGAAATAGCTACTTCCCTAAAGGGAAATTCGCAAAAATAGCAAATTGAATTTATATGTAAATAATTTAGTGATTTTGGACATCTGTACAGTTGATATTGGCAAATAATTTAACCTTGTTGAATGCACTGGTAAAAACACTAAAAACATGCATTTTTAATGTTTGTCCAATGATTACTCCAGCCAAATTGAAGGAATTTTTCAATTTTTTTGTTCTTTAAAGCCTAACAAGAACTAACTATTGTTCTTTTTGCTTAACACATAATTATAATCATTCAAGCCTTTGCATGACGCCACATTTTGATGGATGCTTCTCATTGGGTGCTGTTGACACACAAGTGTACAAGTGCGTCATTGAATTGGCATGTTTCATGTAAGTTGCTAACGATGTTCAGTAAACTTTAACCATTCATATTATTTAACACTCTATGTTTTATTTAATGTACATCTCTTTTCCTTGCAACTAACATGTGTTCTTAATCAAATTAAATTATTCTCTATTGCTAACACATGTTGTGTATAAAAAAGTAAATAAAACAGTGCTTGTTCTCCTATCCCAAAAGTGTGTTCATTTTTTTCTCATCTTATAATCTCCATTTAATTTCATTCTCTACAAAACATTCATTGGTCCTAATCGAGCCTGGATTTTGAATTTCAGTCTTTGGATTCAATTTTCAGAACACTTTCAAGCTATCGAAATATCTTTATTTTATCATTCAATCTCTTTATGTTTCTCCCCACTCTCATAGTGTCACAAACTCTATCTAATTCTTAGTAAAGTTTCACTCCATTTGTTTTGTCCAATATGGCTACCAGATCAATTTCACTCTCAAACTTCAACAAATCAACCCTTCTCATACAAAATTCTTTTGAAAAGATTCTCAAATCTGTACAAGAGCTTGAAACACTTTCCCCCTCAATCTTGTCAGTGATACAAATCAGAACTTTAAACAACTTCTCGAACCAGTTAGAAAAGAAACATGAAGCCTATGAAAATTACCTGGAAAGAGCCTTGGAACATATATCAGAAGAATTAGATTTGGATGCAGTAAGTGACACTGAAGACAAACTGCGACTGCTATTCGTCGAAGCCAAGTCTCGGATTGAAGCCCTTCTCCAACAGCAGCCGCAAGATGTTCCAGAAGAAAGTAAAGATTCAACAAGAATTAGTGACATCTCAGCTTCATCATCTGCTCACGTAAGACTCCCAAAACTAGACCTCATCACGTTTGATGGTTCTCCTCTACAGTGGGTAAGTTTCATCAACTTATTTGACACTAGCATCCATCTGAATGAAAGCATTTCAAACGTCACTAAATTTCAATATCTTCTCAGCGTGCTCAAAAATGAACCACTAAATCTCGTAAAAGCTTTCAGTATCACTTCAGCCAATTACTCAATTGCCTATCAGCTCCTGAGAGACAGATACCACAACACCCGAAGGTTAACTACACTTCACCTAAACAAACTGATCGACCTACCGGACATTTCCTCTACCTCAAACAAATGTCTCAGAACGTTCCTCAACTTGTTTTATGAACACACAGAAGCACTTAAAGCTCTTGACTGTGACATTACTTCTAACTCTAACCCTCTGTTGTCCACCATACTCTTACGAAAACTAGACAATGACCTTCTAAAACAACTAGAGGCTTTTAGAATTAATATAAAATGCGAAACACATTCTCTACCAGAAGTAGTCGAAATAGTCAAGTTTCTTAATCAAGAGTGTAACCAAATGGAAGACGCTGTGTTACATACCAAGTTTGCTCAAAGTACGAACAACCACAATTCAAATTTTAAACCCAAATCTTTCACATCCAAGCCCTCTTTCATTCAAGCTCAGAAAGTTACAATGGTCTCTACTCCAACTCCATCAAATCAAGACAACTCAAAAAATCCTTTCTCATTTCCCTGCTTTGTCTGCTCATCAACTGGCCACAAGGTTTATGCTTGTCCTAGCTTTCTCTCTCTTTCTTCAAATGAACGTTTTAAAACCGTAAAGGACAACAACAGATGTGTCTCTTGCCTAGGAAAACATGATGTTAAAACATGTAAGTCTAAAGCATCTTGCTTCAAATGCCACAAACGTCATCACACCTTACTTCATTTTGAACATGACAAGACATCTCAAGGTTCTACATCATCACAACCATCAACCACTCATGTTTCGAATGAAAAACCTACCGTATCTCTTTGCTCACAGGAAGCCAGTCCTGCTAATCAAATCCCTACAACTGTAATTTTAGGCACAACACTGGTTAAAGTTACTGCTCAAAATAACGTTTCTCATGTGTTCAGAGCATTGATTGATAGTGGCAGCATGTGTGATTTTATTAGTGAAAAAGCTGCTCAACTACTGAATGCACCTCGTTTCAAATCCAACTTACAAGTAGTTGGTCTTTCTCAATCTCCAACTCTCACAAAGGGTATTGTGAACCTCACTGTTAACACACTGGCAGGAAAATTAGTTGCATCCAACCATGAAGTGCACATACCTGATAAAATATCTGTCAATCTCCCTAGATCTCAAATATCACAAAGAGTTCTATTGAAAGTAAAACCTTACCCCCTTGCTGATCCCAGCTTCCACTTATCAGGGCCCATTGACATGCTGATCGGAGCTTCTCTCTTCCCTCTTCTTTTAACGAATGAAAACTATTCTCTCGGCCCTAACATGCCTAACATGATGGGAACTCACTTTGGCTTTGTTGTTATGGGGAATGCACCTTGTTCAACCGATTCCCAGCCTGCCAACACTCCATCCATCTCTCTGCTCTCAACGGTTGACAACGAATTGCATAACTCTCTACAGAAATTTTGGAAATTAGAGGAATTATCTGTACCCTCAAAGATATCGGTTGAAGAGCAACAGTGTGAAGATCTGTTTAAAGCTACCCACTCTAGGGACGAAAATGGCCGTTACTTAACCAGCTACCATTTAAAGAAAATCATCCACCTTTAGGATCTTCCAAACTCATCGCAGAACGACGTTTTCACTCACTTGAACGACGTTTTACACTCTCTCCTGATTTGTATAAATCTTACTCTGACAATATAAATGAACACATCTCTCAAGGTCATATGGTAAAACTACCTCATCTAGATATCAACTCTACTCACTATTTCTTGCCACACCATGCAGTTGTGAAACCATCCAGTACCTCAACTAAACTCCGAATCGTTTATGATGCAAGCTGCAAAACCAGCTCTGGAATTTCCCTCAATGATTCTCTCATGACCGGCCCTAAATTACAGACCAACATTTGTGATATATTGCTACATTTCAGAATACACAATATCGTTTTCACTTGCGATATTCGCCAAATGTATCTTCAAATCTTAATCAAACCTTCCGATCAACTGTTCCAACTCGTCTTGTGGTGTGACAATCCCTCTGAAGATATATCCACATACAAACTCACTCGAGTGACTTTTGGAGTAAATAGCTCACCCTACTTAGCGATTCGTACCCTCCACCAGTTAGCTGAAGACGAAGGTAAAGACTTCCCTGAAGCAGCAAATGTCTTGCGCACTCAGACTTACGTAGACGACATTGTAACTGGAGCAGACACGGTAGATGAAGCAAAGAACCTTCAAAATCAACTCATTCAACTACTCAACCGTGGACACTTTGAACTTCGAAAATGGACTTCAAATTCTCCCGAGCTTCTTCAGTCTCTTCCAGACACTCATAAAGACTCTCCAGTCTTTCTTGAAAATACACCTGATCCCCATTTCTCAATTCTTGGCCTACACTGGTCTCCAGACTCGGACAATTTTTCATTTCATCTCAACCTACCGCCAAAAACACTAACTAAACGTCACGTTCTCAGTCTAGTCGCTAAAATATACGATCCTTGTGGATTTCTTAGCCCATGTACTATGACAGCGAAATGTTTTATTCAACTTCTCTGGACGACCGGTCTACAATGGGATGAACCTCTCACTCCAGAACTTAGTGCAATTTGGAGTAACTTTATCTCAGCGATACCAGCACTTGCAGACATTCAGATCCCTAGAGCATTGAAAATCTCTCCAAATTCTAGTGTTGAACTTCACGGCTTCTCAGACGCCTCTGAACGTGGGTTTTCAGCTGTTGTCTATGTACGATGTTCCCAACCCAACGGAGAAGTGACTACACGTATGGTTTTATCTAAAACTAGAGTCGCCCCTCTTAAGAAGGTGACTCTTCCACGATTAGAACTCTGCGCTGCCCACTTATTAGCTCAACTCGTAAACTTCTGTTGTTCTTCATTCAAACCCTTAATTTCACTCAACCAATGTTATTTGTGGTGTGATTCTTCAGTAACCTTGACATGGCTTCAAACTCCATCTTACAGGCTGAAAACATTCGTGGCTAACAGAGTCGCCCAAACACAAGAACTTGTCCCCTATCACTGTTGGCGTTACATCCCTAGCAAGGAAAACCCTGCTGATTGTGCTTCAAGAGGTATTCTAGCCACTGAGCTTGTGTCTCACCCCCTTTGGTGGTCAGGGCCTTCTTGGCTTTCTCTTCCCCCTTCAAACTGGCCTGATGTAACTTTTTCACCTACAGATATCTCAACATTAGATGAAGTAAAACACACTCCTCTAACTGTACTTGTGTCAACTACCACTGAATCTACGCTGACCAATCTTCTCATTAAATATTCTTCATGGGAACGACTTCTTAGGATTTTTGCTTACGTCCTTCGTTTCATACACAACTGTAAAGGTTCTGAAAAACGCCAAGGTTTCATCTCAACACAGGAACTGAAAGACACAAAATATCACATTTTTAAACTTGTACAAAAAGAAGTATTCACAGAAGAAATCAACTGCCTCAAACGGAAATCATTTTGCTCCACTCGTTTACAACGTCTTTCACCTTTCATTGACTCATTTGGATTATTGCGTGTTGGAGGACGTCTTTCTCAGACATCACTTCCTGAAGATGCTCGACATCCCATTATTCTGCCAAAAAAGCATCATGTGGTAAATCTCCTCATTGACCACTACCATATCTACAATCTTCATTCAGGCCCTCAGCTTACTCAAGCATTACTTTACAAACATGTTTGGATACTGTCTGCCCGTTGTGCCATACGCTCTCGTATCCATAAATGTGTCAGATGTTTCAAAGTCAAACCTAGAAATGTGTGTCCTCTCATGGCTGATCTCCCTCAGTCTCGTGTAACTCCTGCTCGACCTTTCCTCCACACCGGCATAGATTATGCAGGGCCTTTTACTGTTAAAATCTTCAACCTCAAGGCAGTGAGACACATAAAGTCATACTTTTGTACTTTCATCTGCCTCGTCACGAAAGCTGTACATTTGGAAGTAGTAACAGACCTAACGACTGAATCTTTCATTGCTGCAATGACTCGATTTGTATCTCGCAGAGGACATTCTTCCGACATTTACTCGGATTGTGGGTCCAACTTCATTGGTGCTGACTCTACCCTACGCAAGATTGTTGAAAAATCTCTTTATTGTCAAGACTCCAAACGGAAGATTCAACGATTCTCTTCACTTAAAGGCATCAATTTTCATTTTAATCCACCAGCCGCTCCGCATCAAGGAGGATTGTGGGAATCGTCTGTAAAGAATGTGAAACATCATCTCCGTCGAGTAATGGGAAACTCAGTCTTAACACTCATTGAATTCATCACATTATTGACCCAAATCGAAGCAATGCTCAATTCCCGACCACTGACACCTCTTTCAAATGATCCTTCGGATCTCGCAGCACTGACTCCCGGACACTTCCTGATTGGTGCACCCCTCACAGCAGTACCTGAACCTAATCTCCTGACAGTTCCTGAAAACCGTCTCAAGCAATGGCAGTTAGTTCAAGCATTTCATCAACGCATATGGCATAGATGGCACCTAGAATACTTAAACAACTTGCAACAACGTACCAAGTGGACTCAGAAATCAAAAAATCTTGAAGTGGGTGACCTTGTTTTGGTACATATGGACTCACCACCTCTCTCGTGGCCTCTCGCTCGAATTACAGCAGTTCATCCAGGGGCTGATGGGGTTGTGCGAGTGATAGACTTAAAAACATCAAGTGGCAACCTCAGAAGATCTGCCCACAAAGTGTTTCCCCTGCCAACTGTGGATTCGTGAACTGTTTTTGTTGAATCCACTGGGGATTCAAGGCCCCCGGTATGTTCAGTAAACTTTAACCATTCATATTATTTAACACTCTATGTTTTATTTAATGTACATCTCTTTTCCTTGCAACTAACATGTGTTCTTAATCAAATTAAATTATTCTCTATTGCTAACACATGTTGTGTATAAAAAAGTAAATAAAACAGTGCTTGTTCTCCTATCCCAAAAGTGTGTTCATTTTTTTCTCATCTTATAATCTCCATTTAATTTCATTCTCTACAAAACATTCAAACGATACATATGTGTTTCTGTGCGGTGTAATTATACTAGAGAGGAAAAAGTCGAGAGAATTTATATGAAGAAGTTTAATTTATTAAGACAAAAAAATTAGTAAGTATTGTTATGAGAGGTGATTCGAGGTGAATGAATGCGAAGTAACTTGCACCCCTCTTTTCAACCATTTGAGATATTTGAAATCGGTTTGCTGCAATCTTCTTAGATATGAGGGTTGAAAATGGATAGTACGGTAATATAGTGAACGAGTTATCGTTTATGATTAAATAGTATTATTTTGTTAAACAAGGTTTTAAATTACTAAAATAGCAAGAAACAAATTGTAAACAAGAGCGTAATTATAGACAAAATTAATGAAATATAGACCGTCAGCTGTGCTGCGGTTACCATAGGTTCTGGCGCACACCGCTTGGAGCACCACGGTAGTTACGGCGTACGCGCTACGTAAACTACAGCGGTGTGCGCCGGAACCTATGGTAACCATGGCAACCGCAGCACGGCTGACAGTCTATATTTCATTCTTTTTGTCTATGGCGTAACGTGAAGTTGTGCAGGAAACTTTCTTTTTAGGGAAATAATTAGAGAGTGAGGCCCTGGGGCCCTTTAAAGTTTCGTATTTATCCATAAGATTAACATAGGAAACAAAATTTGTTATGGAACTCCAGCTGTTGTCAGAAATTAAAAGTGAAATATTTATTGATGGTATCCATAGTAACAAAGAACAAACCCACAAAATTTAAAAATTTAAACAAGCAGAACTAACTGTCAAATTAATTTTGATTTCACAATTCCACACAGCTGGTCCAAATATATTAAATACTGCACGATTATTAGAACAGGAACGGTATGGATCATAAACATAAATAAAATATGTCACTCGCCCGAATGTAAACATTTAACATTGATTAAATGGAACTATCAAACTATATGTTAATGTCATTAGTATGGGATTCTTTCTGATACGTCATTTGTTGACCGAGTCTGTCCAATATTTTTGAGCTGCTGTAATAATATTTTACAGGAAATAATTGTTATATAAATTCATAGATATAAGTAATAATTTAGATTCTACAATCATTGCTGTCATTAAAATTGTGTATCCGCATCAAACCTTCAGACTAAGCGAATTTCCATTTACCTGGCTTAATTTCTACAAAGATATTCCCTGAAAATTGTCATTTTTTCCTATTTAAATAACATTTAAGTTAATTTTAATATGAGTACGGTACCTAGGTTTGCTGCTACAGGGAAGGTAGGTGTGTGTTTGTTGAAATGTTGATAGCTTAGTATGATTGTTACTGGTTTGCAAATCCTGTAATAATTTACAATTGCTCGAATTCGAGCAACATGAACACTAGTAATTAATTATTTGTTGTAAAATGAATGCAATTCGGTGCATACATTGAGTATTTAAATCTGATCTAACTTGTCGGTTATAACACTTTAAATCATCCTTGCAGTTGTTTTAGTTATTGTTGTCGTATTTAATCCCATGTATAATTTAATTTGTATTGTCCTCGTAACAGCACAACTACACTCTCATGCATTTTTGTTGCAATCAATTTATAATTTAAATGGATTTAGCCATTTTGTTTATTTTAAGGCAATCTATTATTTTAACAATAAACCCGAGACAGTGAATTATTTTAACAGCTTGGTGCAAACCCTAAATTCTGGCATACATTTTGGATGTACTGTAGCAATCCATATTTGGGGCAAGCAACAATTCAACAGTTTTTGGGGTTTAAAAAGAATTTGGTTTGAGAACTTGCTCTGAAGATGTATTGCATCACAACTGAAATGGTCAGTAATTTTTGTTGTATCAACACATAAATAATTCATATGTGTAGATTTTATGTTAGTTTACCCACCTCTGAAAGTGATTTAGCTGAGTTTAGGTGGCTTGAATTTAATTCAGGATTCAATTCAATTAATTTATTTACAGCCAAAACCATTATACATCAAGTACCATGCACAAAGAAACAAAGTTATACAAACAGCAATAGTTCATGCTCAAACAAGAATCAATATACGTTTAAAACATAATTAAGAGTAAGACGTAATAATAAATAGTGCATGCATGATAAATAACAAATAAACTCAAACTCGCAATTACTAAGGCGAGATTGGTGGTTTTGAATTGGAGCAAAAGTAAACATTTGAGAGAAAAAACAAGCAATACTAAATACAATAAGTGAACAAAGATAAGTAGTTAACGTGCAAAAGTTATACAACTGATCTAAGACAACAAATGCATACAAATCATCATAATAGTACTTCTAGATAGTGCACAGAATAGTAAGTAACAAGTAGACTCTGAAGAAAAACAAGAAGCAAGCGTTACAAGAAGATATACAAGAGGATATATCAGTAAATAATGTGCTCATGATATACAAATGATATAAACACAAGATGCAAAAGAATCATAATAAGCAAGACAAAATAATAACTTCTAGATAGTGCATACAATAATAAGTAATGGGTAGACTCTGAAGAAAAACAAAAGGCTAGCATCACAAGAACACGATCAACAGGACGAAAGGATTCAAATCTTCCATCGATTTAAATTTGCTATTTTAAATTTATGTCGAGGCTCTTTAAAATTAGTGTATTGAACAAGCCTAAGATCACAGTCACATTTGAAAGCTTTGCGAATTGTGTACATTAACTTAATTAAAAAGAGACCAAAATGAGATTTGAAATTTAAATTGTTATCATGAAAATGAGTTACAAACTTATGATGGATTAAAATATTAAATCATTAAATGTAAAGAAATAAAACATTTGTGGTAAAATATACTAATGAAACAGTTTTATTACAAAACGATGTCACAACCCCTAGTGATATGTGAACTGTTAAAATAGTTTTCACTCATATTAGGTGAAATCACATAAATTAACTTTAAAATACTAATACTGCTGTTAAACTGAATGAATTTGAATTGAATAAAATATTTTTCCCCATAATAAGTTGTGTTTTCAACTTGTAAAAGAGCCAGGTGCTGCAAAATGTGAGAAATAACAATCACTATTTCATGCATTTATTGCAAAACAGAAAATTTGCAATGAAATTTGGGATTTAAGTTTTAAAACTAGAATAGGCCTATATAATATGTTCTGAAAATAAAGTAAAAGAATGTGGTTTATAAAATGTCAAAGATAATGCAAATATACAGTAACAATAAAAAAAGATGAGACTATTATATTTGAAAAATTAAAAAAGAATTTAAACAAATTTCGGGCAAAACGATTCAGATTAAAACGACAGACAAACCATTGAAAATCTTCTTCAGTCTATTCCGCAAACTTCACCGACTTTAACATAATCTGCGTTGGCGTAAATGACCTTGTCTTTTTGGGCGAGAGCAAAAACACCAGAGCTTCTGCTATCAAATCGACTCATTTTGTGACCAAGCGTTCGAAGGTTCTTGACTAATGGCTGAAAAATGCAAATTATTTTATTAATAAACTCTATGAATCTACTGCAGTAAAGATACTTATGCCTGAGTCATATAAAACATTTTCGTAGGGTTGACATAAAACATAAAATTTCAATAAAAACTCAAATTCTCTTCCTCCATCTACTCTTCCTCTAACACCTAGCGTTTACAGCTTGAGTGGAAAAAATTGTGGTTTAGGCAGTCGAAAGCTTTACTAAAATATATGAAGAGGCTTGTAGAAGCGCTGCCTTCTAGTTGGTCTAGTATGTGCTCCGTCAGTTGTATTAAGGCTGTGGCTCTTGATCTGCCTTTTTTTTTTTTTTTTTTTTTAAATAGAGGTTGGCGGCCTCTTTTAACCTTGCATCTGCCCGTCCACATAGACTAAGCGCCCATGCGTGGATCGTTTACAGCAAAGCAAGGAGTGAGCCGGTACAGTACAAAGGTGAACTGTACTGATAAAATGTTATCGCCAGTGACCAGGATCCGAACCCACGACATCGCTGCCTTGGGCCCGAAGTCCGCGACGCTACCGACTGAGCCACCGACTCACTAACCGAGCTCACCTTTGATAAATCCGTGCTGTTGACTATTGAGAAGGTTGTGTTCTTGTAGGAGTAGGGCTAGTAATATCTTTTCAGTTATTTTTGAAAACGTTGATATTAAAGAGATTGGTCTATAGCTGTTTCTTTCTATTGTTAGTTAATTTTTATTTATGGGTAAACTTAAGCTATTTTTAATTTATCAATTTATCTAGGTATTACTGTTGAAGCAATATAAAAATATAATATATTCATCATGTATACAAATATACCCTAACTCAATTATTTATTATTCTATGAACTAAAGACTGTTTCATGTTTATAAAATTTGTTGTTATGTTGGCATAGCAACTTCCTAGTTAGAGTAAAACAAATGTGCTTATGAGTTGTACAAGTTTGTATGTGTTCTATTTTAAAGTTATAAAATAAAGTATTAAGAGTCAAGTCTTATAATTAAATAAGGTCCACAGATTTAACCTCAACAGGTTATGGGCCCAGACACTGACTGGTAAGCAATATTTTAATTCAAATTGATGAAAATGTCAAGTCATATACTCTAGGACTAAAAGCATACTAAGTATATTGAAATGAAGGTTTGTGGTTGTGAACTATAGAGAAATGCATGTTGCATGTTTGATAGCTTGCTAAACCAACGTTTATGCTTGATTAAATGTTAGTAATGGAAGCTGCTCCTAATTGTGTTAAATTGTCCAACGACAATTGGAACATTTGGAAGTTTCAAACCACAGTAACCTTGAAAGCAAAAAGCTTGTACAATGTAGTAGTAAATGATGAGAAAATGCCTGAAGAAGGAGATGATAAGTATGACAAACTCTTTGCTGAGTATAATAGTAAAGACTGTTGAGCCCAAGATATAATAGTTTCTAGACTTGGTGAAAATGCCATATCCCATGTGTTAATGTGTACAGGTCCACAGATTTAACCTAAACAATTACCGTAGGTCTCATGGTAAGACCTGGACCCGGGACCGATTAACTTTTTCGTTTTGAGGTTCCCAGAGGCCAAAAACACCATCCGATCGATTTCATATATACATATATATATTTATATATATTTATATTTATATATTAGATATATTTATATATATATTTATATATATATTTATATTTATATATATATATATTTATATATATTTTTATATTTATGTATAAGTTTTTTATTTCTTCTTTGATCCAGATTTTCTTAGCAGTATTCAAAGTTTTTTGATGCTGCTTTTGATTGATTTTTAATTTGAATTTGGACATAGTTTATATTTATATATATATATATATATATATATATATATATATACATATATGTCCGTTAGCACGATAACTCGAGCAAAAATGATCCGATTTTGATGAAATTTGGTACAAACGTGTAAATCTACATTTATTCTAACGAGTTCGCAAACTAGCAAGATCGGACTATGGAAACGGGGGTTTATGGGGGGTTTTATGGGGTAAAAATTGGTTTTTCCCATTTTAGACCCTAAAAACACAAAAGTTCACAATTTATTTCCAAACCATTTTGTAGAGCTTAAAAAACAAATAATATAGTATATTGAAGCTTTACTATGCGCCTAAGGGTTACAGAGAAAATTCCAAAAAATTGTAAATTTAAAATTCCCATGTTATTCTTATGGAGAATAAGTCAACTGTTGTAGTTTGCTTGTTTATGAACATATTTTGATCAAATTTGGAAAATACATTCATTTGTTGCTAAACTACAGTATTAACATTTTACAACAAAAACACTTTTTTACCCTCCCTGTTGCAGCAAACCTAAGTACTCGTTAAACTAATTCTACTTTAACAGGTGTGACGCTCGGGTCACAGCCGAGCCGCTATCAACCGGTTCAATCCGCTTTAGTCACTACACTGGAGGAGAGTAGGGAAGGGGTAGAGTTAGGGGCAGTCGTCACCTGGAGGTACTGGAGAGATCACGTCGTCGAGGAATGGGAATGAGACCGATAAGTTATAGTATTAAGTTTAATTATTAGATATATATATTAATCATGTTCTAATTCTTTTCAGTAAGGGGGGGGGGACTAAGGTGTTAGGGATTCAATCATTAATTAAATATTTATATTATGTAAGGCTGATATAACCGTACCTTTCGGGCCCATAAGGCGCGAAGGGAGTTTTTTAGCTTATCCTTATTTACAGTATTAGTATAATTGGTTGAATGCAACTAAATTTAGATCATAAAAATGGCTGTGATATAGATGTGGCTTGGCTCAGTTATTCAGTTAGGTTAAATAAAATATTCTAACTTAGAATGGTAGCACGCACAAGAAATCTCTACATTTAATTGAGTCTCAAACAGGGCCGGACTTAGGACTTCAGAGGCCCCGGGCAAATAATAATGTCTACATGATCGCGAGAGATGTTCATAATTTTGCTGCGATCATGGAAGATGTTTATAGTGTGTTAGTTGGTGATGTTATGATTTTATGTTATGTTATGGTTATGATGTTAGTGATGTATGTGATGTTAGTTAATTATGTTTATAGTGTTAGTTTATAGTAGTTAGTTAGTTATAGTGTTAGTTAGGGGGTTATTCAGGGTTTTGCGGTCACCGCCTGACACAATGATAGTGTCTATACAACCGCGGGAAATGAACAAAATTCAGCTACGATCGTTGAAGACGATGATGACATTCCCGTGACTGTGGGAGCGGGAGATAACCAGAATTGATTCACGAATGCAGAAGACGACGATAAAGCCTACAGGACCTCAGGAGTAGATCATGATTTTGCCGAGATCGCAGAAGACTGATGATGATGGGGGGGGGGGCTTTACCTCTTATTTTTCCCCCATCAATCTAAAGCTTGTTCCGCCACTGGTGTGTCTTCTCTAAAGATGTTGGGTGGAGTTTATCATGAATGATTGCACGGTTCAAATTCAAATGGTGTCATTACATTTTGTCTGGCTATGGTCTGGGTGGTTGGTTTTGTATCTCTGTAAGTCCTTTGTCGCTTCTCTTGTAGGAAACAGGATGAGGTCCCTTATTGCATAGTTGTCGAGTAGGAAATTTGTTAAAGTGAAGGAAACATTTTTTACTAATTACAACCGAGCAAAACAAGGTTACTTACAGCAATGACTCCATATTCATAGCTAATCTCCATTGGATACAGCTGATGATGGATTCTGCTAGCATCCACTGCGTCTTTGATTGACTTTCCCAACCATAAATGTTGTATTATGACCTGAAAAACAAATTAGTATTTTTTTCATTTTGTATAGGCTGAAATAATGAAGTTGTGTTAAGTGGTCACAACTCAAGACATTTTGTGTCTAATATGTTGAGAACTTCAACTATCCGGATAAACTGGGACTGGGCCCCATCCGGATAAACTGGGACTGGGCCCCATCCGGATAAACTGGGACTGGGCCCCATCCGGATAAACTGGGACTGGGCCCCATCCGGATAAACTGGGACTGGGCCCCATCCGGATAAACTGGGACTGGGCCCCATCCGGATAAACTGGGACTGGGCCCCATCCGGATAAACTGGGACTGGGCCCCATCCGGATAAACTGGGACTGGGCCCCATTCGGATAGTCAACAATACGAATGATTGGATTTTCAAGGATTATTGGTCCTTGACAATAGACTTTTCATATAATCGAAACAATTGCCACACATAACAAGATATGATGTTCAAATTATGGTAAACTACAATTAGCTGCTTCTATATTATTAATTTGATTTTCCTTGAAGCTTTGTGATCTGGATAGTTGTTAAAAGGGCTCTGCTTTGGATGTGAGAAAGTATGCAAAACCGACATAAGTGCAAACAAAGTAATATTAAATAATAGTCTGAGTAGCTCAGTGGTTAAGGTGCTCGCCTTCAAATCCGAAGGTCACTGATGGTTTGATTGCAAGCGAGATTGTTACTGGAAAAAACCCAAATTTTAATGAAAGCCTCCAAGAAAAAGATCATTATTGGGTAGCTTGCAATGAGTCACACTATAATGTTTTTAATAGATGTTTGGAATAGAAACACAGAACATTTTCCAAACGTTTTTCGCTATAATACAAACAGTGTTGCATATTTCTACGATTTTGTTGGTATTATTTATATGAATCATAAAGAAAAGAATATATAATCTTCCTCTTTTATCGTTCCATGAGCAGTTAGTAAGAGCAATACGAAAATGACTGATTTTTGCCAGATCGGCTGCCATGATAGCTTTTAGTTGAAAATTGTTTTGAATGTGTTTGTATGCAAAACATCCATGTATTTAAATAAATACCACTGATTTGAAGGATAAGATGGCATAAATAAAGCTCTATCCTGCACCGCTAGCTGAGCCATATCACGTAAAAAGATCACCAAACACTTGGACCTAATCTTGGTTAGGTTTCGCTTTACGTAGGTTAAGCGTTTGTCGACACCTCTGCCCACACATAGATATTTCATCGCAAACTACGAAACAACGTTTTCAAACAAAATCTGAAGATTTAATTTATTTTCCCCCTGTAGTTAATTAAAATTTTGTATACTCAATCTTAGGGATGAGTGAATTGTTTGGCCATTCACTTTAGAAGCAGCACAAGTGAATACGAGAACACTGCCGTCACCATTAGGTTGATTACGTTGTATTTGCAATATAATTTATATCTACTGACTTTTTAGTCTACAGCCATAACAATGTTTAGTTTGCAGGAAAAAAATAATGGAACACTTATCACTTATACAGGGTGTTCAAAAAAGGTGGGGACATATTTTGCCTAGTGATTCCTTGGATCAAATAAAGAGAAAATCAAGAATAACATTTTTTCCAAAATCGCTTCGTTAACCAGATATTTGCCATTTTGTATTTTTTACATAAACATTTTTATCTTCTAATTTTTTCAACCGATCTTTATGAAACTTGGTATGTAGGTTAAGGTAGAAGAGACTCGTGTTCGAAAAATATTTCATCTTGATTCAACCTAAAATTTCAAAATGGCGGCCATTTAAAACTTTTAAACTTAAATTACTAAAGAATGGCTGATTTTATGAAAAAATTTCAAGAGCACTTTTATTTAGCATTTTTAATTACCTATCAAACGATACCAAGTTCAAAAAGATCGAATAAGAAATAGCTGAATTATTAAAATTTTTAGTTGTAAAATGGGGCAAACCTGACTAGCTTCTGCCTTATTCTACCCCATTTTACAACTAAAAATCGTAATATTTCAGCTATTTATTATTTGATCTTTTTGAACTTGGTATCGTTTGATAGGTAATTAAAAATGTTAAATAACAGTGCTCTTGACATTTTTTCATAAAATCAGCCATTCTTTAGTAATTTAAGTTAAAAATTGTTAAATGGCCGCCATTTTGAAATTTTAGGTAGAATCAAGATGATATATTTTTCGAACACGGGTCTCTTCTACCTTAACGTACATACCAAGTTGCATAAAGATCGGTTGATATAATTAGAAGATAAAATTGTTTATGTAAAAAACACAAAATGGCGGATATCTGGTTAACGAAGCGATTTTGGAAAAAATGTTATTCTTGATTTTCTCTTTATTTTGACCCAAGGAATCACTAGGTAAAATATGTCCCCACCTTTTTTGAACACCCTGTATAATGGAACCAAGAAGTAATCACGCAGCAAAAATATATCAATGGAAACGGTATTGATCATAAACAAATTACATCACTAGCCCGAAAGCAAACAGGTTTGTATTATTATTTTAAAATTAAACAGTCAAAAACGTCCAACTATGTGTTTATGTTATTATTGGTTCGAGCTAGTGACGTCAATTGTTTATGTTTATGATCCATACAATTTCTGTTCTAGTCAACAGCTGATCTTATGCCTTTGTTTTTGTGTCAATTACTACTTCGATAAGGATTATTGAAATTTTGAGAGCCACTGGGGTGGATTCCTTAGAGAATTTTTAACGCCATATAGGTGTTAGCACACACCAATATGGTATTCATCACCATGCAAAATTTGAAAATGATTGGTTCAGCCATTTAGGAGTTTGCGTATTACAAAATGTATAAGGGTTGACATATTAGAACTTTGCTCGCTCCGCTCAATGAATGTAAGAATTTTCTAGCAAATATTTGTCCCCTTCTCACCCATGACACTGCGGTGGGGATGAAGGCACCTCCGGCAGCCCCGAGGACCATCCGCACGTCTCCATTCTTGTCTACTATAATCGTGGGGCACGTGGAGCTCATCGATCGCTTGCCTGGTTGTATAAAGTTGGCGGGAGATGGCTTAGTTCCATGGTAATTGATCACTCCGGGTAAGGAGAAGTCATTCATGCCACTGTTCAGTACGATTCCCGTTCTCTCTGACGTGACTCCTGCGCCAAATCTGTCGAACAGATTGGTTTCAGAATAAATTTTCTGGTAATATACATTTCTTGTTTCAGCACAATATTTTTTGTGGAAATATTTTAAAACAGTCCTAACGAAACCAGTATGTCTTGTCTCTCAGCAAAATGTTAAGATTAAGCTACTTTGTTCAGTAATTTATATATTTTTAAAAGTGGAAAACCTAAAACTACACTACGCACACCTGGGGTGCGAGCTTCTTCATTCCCTAGGTATATGCGTGATATACCCATATATGGTATATCAGCTTATATCTATGGTATATCTGGGTATGGTTCAGATACCCGCCAATCACCAATAAATTTTATCCATGTGATAATGCCACAACAGATCTATCCTGAAGTAATTTGGAAATGGGTCAAGCTAGAGCCTAGCATTCTAGATTTAACAGGTTCGCTACCGAGTGTCGCATATATGTGACGCCGCAATCATTGCCACGGACCGAGGTATAAAATATAATCTTTCACATAATCCTTGGCTGCCACCTGGTTAACAGTACATGCACACCAAGGACGAAAACCTGTTTACAGTGATCATTTACTTAGTTATACGCTGAAATTGCGTTAGTAAATAATATATTCTTTTTTTTATTGTTGATAACCTTTTGTAATGTTGCATATTTGCAACGCCCGGTCTATAACAAAGATAATACTGATAATAGTACAATTTTTTTTTATAGCCCAAACGCCGCATATATGCGACAGTTCATTTTTGTATTATGTTTTTTAGGTGAAAGTAATTAAAAAAATTTTTTCAAGAACAGGTTATAACTGAACAAATATAAAAGCTACATAGGATAATGCAGCATACATGCAGCACACAAACATACAGTGATGCAGCAAAGTAAAAAACAGTTTGACGTTACCAGTTATCATATCCACAGACCAAGCGACGCAGTTGTGCGACAGACATCCCTATAGACCATTGCAGAGAATTCAGGGCCTTAAAATAGACCGTTACAAAGATATAAGCGTTTTGATAACATTGGAACACCGATGCAAATATGCGACGTCAGTCTATTTTAATGTGACTAGCAGTCGCATATATGTGTCGGCAGTCTATGGGTAGAAACCGGCCGTGGCATATGTGCATCGCTGGTCCATATGAATGAACAATGTTGTAATATTGCGGTAATGATCGTGTTAAAAAAGGTGGAACATTAAAAATGAAAGCCACTCACATGAGATTAACAGTGCTAGTGACTGCCACGGCGTCTCCGTCCGGAGCAAGGATACTGATGTGTGCCGTGCCGTGGTCGTCAGGGTTGTAGAACACGGCGCCATAGTGGGCGGCGTCCTCAAACGTTTGATCGTCCTTGATCTGTGATCGTATGCTGTTAATGTAGTCCTCAGACATCATGTTGGTTACCACCTAAAGAAAATAGATCATCATTAATTTGTTGTTTTACAATTATTGAAGGGTGTGGACAGGTAATAAAAAAATACCTACAAGGTTTTTTTTTGTCATTGCAGATGTTTCTCAGGATGTTTCTTTAAGTGAGTTGACAAGTCTTAACAAATAAGTGTTATATAAAAAAGTTCACTTGAAGCAGTTATTTTTTTCCATAAAGGAATAGTCCACAAAGAGGCGTAATGGAATCTTTAATGAGGCTATATTTTGAGTAGCAAAATACTGTTACACAGGCTTAAAATAGTTGGGAAATAGATTACTGAGAAAGCCATATTATTTTTGAAATGTCATCTGAGCTGTTAAGGAGGATCGAGTGAAACAACGCTGATCGTATCTTCCTAATAACAGAGATCATCACGAAATAATATTTTTTTAGCAATAGTTACTGAGAAAAGCGTATTAATTTTGTAACAACATCTGTTTGGAATGAGCGAGTGAAATAATGCTGATCATATCTGTTGGACTTTCACTCATGATCTGCATATAAGCTAGCATGTGACTATTAATTTTATTTAAGTCATATGTTTATGTTTTTATATGTGAGTATTACCTTTGTGTTTTTCCTTGATTCAATTAAATACTAGTTTTCTATTCTGTCTAAATTTAATTTGATATTCATGAGTTTTAGAGTCAATTCCACATTAAATATGCTCTCCCCTTTAGTATCTTCCTATCAACATCAAACATCTCTAAATAATAGTAATAGTCTGTCTGAGGAACTAGTAGTCAGTAATCACCATAATAAAAGGGAGTAAAAATAACATTGCAATAGAACGAATAGCTGGTACGTACTGGATGAGGAAGTTATAGGTGAAAAAATAATGTTATAGCTTCACCTATTAACAAAAAAAGCTAAGGAACATTCCTCACTATCATTGCAAAGTAACGTCATTTCTCATCCCTACCCAGTATTAAATCACACTTACCTCTTTGATTTTTGTATCAATGTTCGGATCTCCCAATTCTGTGCGCTTGGCGTAAGCGTACTTAAACGCCTCCACCATCCTGTGAATGGTTGTTGTCTTTTTTTCTAGCGTACTCATGCTGTCTGGTGTGATGTTGAATCCTTCAAGGATTTTGAGGATGAATGCGAGGAGGACGCCGGAACCAGGAGGAGGCGTGGAGTACAGTGTGTCGTCACCGAGCTTCACTTTGATAGGATCACTCCATACTGGTCTGCATGGGTAAAATGATTATTTTGTGACAGTGTTTGTGAAAAAGTCAGTAACTTAAGTAATTTACATTGGGATTTCAAGAATAAGTTTTATCTTGAAGACTATCTTTTACGGAAAGTAAATAAAAGAAACGTTTTATAACACTTAAAACATATATTTACGCTTATACTGTTACTCACAAGACGGTAAATATACATACAAGATTGTGCCACATCAACTTCCTGTTCCTGGGCTCTCACTTTTCTGCACCAATTAAAATGTTCATAACGTTTCATAATGAAACAGTTTATATGTTTATAATACAGTTTATCTCATTAATCACAAAGTCCATCACATTACGCACTCAAATAAGAGCTGTAAACTAAGGGCGCGACGCGCACAGAGCAAATTGTTGTCAAAATACGCAATGACCCAGACTACAGTACAGACAGAACGAAACAAAGCCTGTCACGACAGGCACCGCTGATGAGTCACCCGCATGGATCTCTATCAAAATCAGATGATATACGGTCAGCTGAGATAATACGTGAGCGGGTAGTGGCCAGTGGGGGAGGGGCTGGTCTGGTCCGAGTATGTGTCGCCCAGGCAGCAGGCGCACAGCTACTAACTCCTAGCCTGAAGCAACACAACCACACGGACAATATACATTGTCAGGTGATCGTGGTGGGCGGTGGTGTTTTGTTAAAATCTTTTTAAATTAAAAAATGTAACTTAAGTAAATTTTGCTGAATAAAAGTATCTACCAACACATTGTTTAGAAAAAAAAAATTGTCAGGAGAGAAAAACATCTGTAAACAAAGGATCGGTTTTACGGACGGTTTTAGGAGGAAATGGTATCTCAACCTCGCGGGCCCCTAAACCTCGCACCGTGGGGTCGGCTGTTACGCCACTGAATGAAACTATCTAAATGTAATGAAAATAACATACAATTTTTTAACCAACCCGACTTCTAATCAGGTGCCTTAAATAAAAACCCATCTAAATTATGTCAAAATTTTAAGAAAATATCCAGTGGAAGGACCCCTGGACCACCCCTCCCACTGGGGGGTACCCCCCCGGAATGATCCCACCCCGCAATGTCACACCAATGGCCTACCCTACTGTTCAGGTAAAGCTGCAAAAATCAGCAAGCAAGAAGAACTGCTACGATTGGATACAGGATCAGTGCACAAACTGTTATAGATAAATGGGTCAATTTGTAATCAAACTGCACAATTATAATAACTGGATGTTTTTTTCACAGTACTTCTCTACTTCACTTACTTGTAGTTCCGCATGTCGTCTTCGGTGATAATGCCTCCCATCTTTTGTATGTCGTCAACGAACGTCTTGGTGAGAGGACCATCGTGTAACGCGTTTCCATCATTTTTCGCAATCACTCCAAGAGTTTCGCACAGCAGTTTGGGTTGGATCAGACTCCCCGTAGGCTTGAAATCGTTTTTTGAGTCAACAAACCATTCCCTGCAATTGTAATTTGAATGGTTATATTATTGTTTGAATTAAAATATTTACCGTTAAGAAGAGAAAATTGTTATTGGGCTTGACACAATTTGTTATAGACCATGTCATGCAAGTGAGTATTTTGCATCAAGAAAATGCTCTTGGAGAGTCGAAAAGTCACTTTTTGATCTTGAGAAAAGTACTGTTTGATGGTTCGAAACAGGATGAGCTGTCTTTGGTCGTTGTTAATTTATTACTTAATCTAGGGAACTTAAATATCCAACATTGCTTTAAAATTATACTATTATTATTATTGTTATCATCTATATATTTAATACACAGTTGTAACACTGTTTTCTCAGCAATTACTGGACCGATCTACAAGATTTATGTCTCAAATTAAAGGAGATAATGCACAGATTTGCCGAACTTCATTAGAATTTACGTTTTTTCTAAGGACTACGACCTACAGCCCTTTAAAGGTCGAGTCAAAACAATTCTTATTGAAGAATATAATACACAGTTTATAAATTATTCGTCAGCTGTTTAATGTTTGTCAGACATTTGTTATTATTTTTATAACCTCACTTTTAGTATGCAATTATTAAACTTGGAGTTTCTGTTTATAAACACACGATTTTGATCAAGGAAAGTGTATTTGTTAACTTATTTTTGAAATGTTTTAGTTTTCCTGCAAAGTGATCTGAAGGAAAGTGGTAATTGAGTTTAAGTTCGAGTATGGAATGTGAAATAATACCCATAGTAGGGAACGGAAACTTATTGTTTTGATCAATATAATTTATTCTCTACGGCTACCAGAATAATCATGGGGAAATCCGCTTGCAAGTTGTACATATAATTGCTAATGAGTGGGAAACATACAAACATTTTATAGTAGGTGACGAATCTTACTCCAAGATCAGTGTTAGACGTTCAGTGGTACCAAACTTTACCTTCTCGAGATGGCGAGTACGCTGGGATACGTGGAACTACAATATATCAGTGATTTTTTTTCAAGTACACAGGGAAGTTGCTTGAGAAACTGTGACTTACCATTCGGTTCTGGCGAAGAAGTATGTGACTTGATGTTTAATGGCAATGTTGACTCGGGTCATTAGAGCGTTATAAAACTTTATCATTAACCCCAGGATGTGAAAAGTACAAAAAGAAAAAGAAAAGGTAATATTAACCGGGCGTAAAGAGACATACAGAACGAAAAAAACATGTAGAGAACCATCAAACTAAAAAGGTAAAGAGCAGTGATGGTGTTAAATGTGCTCTGGAAGTCCCTTCTAAAAAATACCATTTTTTTTTTTTTTTTTATTGGGGTCGTTAGATTGGATTTGTCAGTACTGCAAATCTATGAATTTTGAGTCAGAACAGACTAACTGGGACACAAATATTTTTTCCTTATGTTGTCACAAGGGGAAGGTAAAATGAACTCCTTATCAACATTTTTAGTTTATGGAAAATCTTATCAACAGCGACTATAAAAAAAGTATTAAGGGTCAAAAGAGACAAAAAACTATTTGAGTAAAATATAATACAAATCTGCATTTGAAATGGCCAGTTCTAAGACTCACTTGAATCAACATCTTTCTGGTAGTGGTAGTCTACATAGTTTTAAAATCCACGACTCCTTTTCCATCAAATTGGACCGTTAATACCCTCTAACATTGAACAAAGTATGCCCAACTTTATCTATACGACGTAAACACAGCTTTTACTCACAGTATGGGTCAAAGATTCGTGAAATGCTACCAACTGATGATGCGTGATTTGCATGTAGGCTAAGTGACTATCTTTATTCCATACAACAAATGTAATGAAAAAAACGACGAATATAGGAATATACTTGAGCAAATTATCTAAATAGCATAAATAGCTGCTTATTAGGTTATCAGCATTGCCCAATTTGTATACTATTTATTTTTCAAATGAAACTCGAATTAATATAAAAAATTCATTTGGTTAAAATAATATATCGGTTTGATTAACATAAAATAGTTTATACAGGCAAACTATCATTTCTATTTCATGTAAAAAATCAAACAACCCCTAAATAAAATACAAAGATAAACAGTATTTGTTAATTATTATTTCTTTTATTACTGACAATATTCCCGTGGCGGAGCACGGGCGGTTAACTAGTTTATTATTATTGTTATTATTATTATTATTATTATTTATTGTGCTATTTTGAATATTTCTAATTATACTTTATTTACTTATTAATTAATAAGTTAATTTACTTATTAATTAATAAGTTGTTTCCAGTTAATAATATTACCTATATTTGGATTATTTGATATTTTGATGCTATATGAACTTTATTAGGTATATAAAAGAGCATTTCCAGGAAGAAGTAAGACGCAGAATGCCAGTCCGCGCACGTGTACTGGTGTTACTATTAGCCGCGCGTGTACTGGAGGGTTAAAGGAGAAACTCTTCCCATACTATGTTTTTTTTTATAACATCTTAATGCCTGGCCAAATGACCCTGGTTTCATTGTTCTTTAACCATTATTTTTAGTTCATCAAAAGCGCGGCATCTTGACATTTTTACTTACAATGTTCCATGCTGAAAACAGGGCTCCAGCAGATAAAAAACAGAAAAAAACAATCCTACTTTTCCTATACAAGCATATATAGCAATCCTATACTATACTCTGTCTGAATTTAATGTGCGGTTGAAGGACAAATTTGTTTTCCCCTGTTTTCTCCCTGGCCCCTGCCACCACAACATATTAGCCTACAGCTGATTCATACTGTTTATAATTTTACAACAGTTGTCACTTTGTTTACATTTTAGTAGTAAACAACATTGTGATTATTCTGATGGTATTTTTTTGCAGTTTAATATTATTCAGTCTGTGTTTAATTGATCAGTGTTAATTAGAAATGGCCAAAAGGTGGCAAGACATTACAACTCAAACTAAAAACACAATTTTTAGAGTGTACTATTATTAAAAAAAAAAGCATTTATTATAAATCTGCAGGATAACACTGACTCTGATGGCTTAAGCGAAGATGATGGAGAATATCTACTTTCCAGTTATGAGAGTGAATTATGTAATGGACCGTCTCCAATACTTTTTAACGCCCACATTACAACTAACATTTGTTAAATTTACACCATTGTGTTCATTTTGTGGTTTAATATATGTTTTAAAAATCAAATTAAATTTATATGTTTTTACGGGATTTGTTTTCTATTTGGTGTGTACTAAGGCATATTGGCATTTTATTATTAAGGATTTGAAATATTTATACAATTAGTAAACGATGAAAAATGCAAACACTTTAATATAGCTGTTACATACAAATGGTTTAATTTGTGTGTATCTCCAAACATAGCTCGTTCATTCAAATAGTATGATCAATTTGTTATGTTAGTTTATCCTCAGTAAAAGACAATTGAATGCTTCTACTTGTCATTTACCTAGTGAGTTTAATGTTGTACACTGATTACTCAGGCATAAACAGGATAACCCAATGGTTTTCATCCTGATCTGACCTTAGGGCTCCGCTAGAGACATTGACAAAGTTCCTATTACCGACGGTATTAAAATAACAACTAAATAAAGAAGTGAAGAATCGCTTTAGAATTTTGAAACCAGTTCACCACGATATTAACATAATTTAATAATGTATAGTTACATTACCAGAACTGAAATTGTATTTAAAACAATCCATCAAAAGCAAAAATGTTAGTCTAGGATTATGTATATTACATTATAACAAAACTTTTAGTGAAATTAAAATTGATACGTAGATTATTTATTGTTAAAATAAATCTTATTGTTTTATTATGTGTGTAGTTCAATCATAATAAACAAATGCTTCCTAAAAAACCTGTCTGCAATATAAAACAGATGATTGTTACGGGGGATTTCAGTGTAGAAAAGGGTAAATGAGTGGGAGATTTACCATTATAGGGAAATCATATGTTGAATTCCAACCGCACAATTATTTTAGACAGACTATAGCTGGTATAGAAGTAGAGTTAGTTGTAAGACCTTATTCTTTGAATACAGAATACTCACTTTACCGAGTGTGTACATTTTGCAGAATATCATGTTTGTAAAATCAAATATTGAACAAAATCTCATCTCACTCACCGTCTCACAATCATGACTAAGGAATAATTTAGAATTACCATCATTAAGACTGGCCTCAACACAGCGCAGCTATAAATATTTACAACTCCAACTTTTCAATGCCTTCCCTGAAACTGTAAGCAATTTGCCTATTTAGTCGTTAAAAATTTTATGTAATGATGTAACAATGAAAGAACTCAAAAATATTTTAGCAGTTTTGAGATTTGAGATTCTAATTGAGATTCGGTTTCGACACATCACTACACCTAGGAAAATTACCGTACCTCAAGTTAGGATCACTATAGAACCGTCCAGACTGGATACCAAGGTTTTTACTTTGATGTTCGCTCATGATGTAACCCTCTTTGCACATCTTTAGCGCAGGTTCTACTACCTCATTCCATTTGAGACGGCCGTATTTCTGTTGTGCCTCCCAGTATCCTCGCAGCTCCCCGGGAACCCCTGCCGCGAGCGCTCCTGTAAACAACCTTTGCTTAACCAACAGAGTAACTTGGTCTACTAATCAAGAGGGTTACCAGTTATATCCTAAAATACCCCTGCCGCAGCAAACCTGCAGACTAAGCGAATTTCAAATTTCCCGATTGGATTAAAATACGCACATAGTGGTGTCCCCATCTTAAATAATTGATTTATTAAATGATTTACACTAAAATGACTCATTAAAATGTCAAATTTATTCCCTATTTAAATAGAATTAGTTTAACGAGTACTTAGGTTTGCTGCAACAGGGACGGTAATAAGTTTTTATTTTTTTGTAAAATGTTCATAGTTTAGTAAGAAATAAATAGGCCCACATCTTCCAAATTTGATCAAAATATGTTCATAAACAAGCAAACTACAACTGTTTACTTATTCTTCATAAGAATAACATGGGGATTTTAAATTTAAAATTTTTTTAAATTTTCTCTATAACCATTAGGCGCAGTATAATGTTTCAAGATACTAAATAATTAGTTTCATTTAACCCCTCAAAATGGTTTGGAAAGAAATTGCTAAATTCAATGTTTTTTTTTGTAAAAAATGGGGAAAACCAATTTTTACCCTATAAAACCCCCCATAAACCCCCGTCCATAGTCTGATCATGATGGATTGCGAACTCGTTTGAATAAATGTAGGTTTACACGTTTGTACCAAATTTCATCAAAATCGGATTATTTTTGCTCGAGTTATCATGCTAACGGATATATATAATATACATGAATTTGAACCGATGGTGGTTTTGGCCTATAGGGACCTTAAAACAGAACGAAAAAGAAAATCCGTCCCGGGTCCAGGTCTTACCATGAGTACTACGGTAATAGCTTATTCTCTATAATGGGAAATTCGCTAAAAAATAAAATGTAGTTAACTTTTTTAAATTATTTTTAACTAGTGTACATTTTGCTAGAATTTGAGCAATTGCAGGATTTGCAAGCCAATAACAGTTTTCGGTGAGTTTAACAGAGTCAATTATGTAACTAATAGAAATACTCACACTGTCTATAACGGTTCGATATAATCAATATGTCTTCTAAATATTTTATCATTTTTCAAAAGCGGTTCATGTTTTTTTGTGTATTCTACAAATGTTTCCCTACTTACTCGTAACCGCATAACAATATCCATGTGTATCTTCGTCATTGATAGCCTGTATGGTACCACAAATGTCGCCAGTGTGTTACAAATTTCAGTCATTTTTTTAAAATTGTGATAATAACACATTAACTAGGTAATGTGTTTCTTCACATTACTTAAGATCAACCTGATTTCCTGCGTACCCTGTGTGTCACAATTTTATTTGATTCAATTGTCTTTATTTTGGTTGATTGCTGTAATAATATCATTATATTTACCTGAGAAAATGTAGAGTTAAAGGTCTGATTTTGTTCAGATTATTTTTTGTTTCCCTTAACTGTGAATAATAATTGAATCATTCTTTTGAAGTTCAGTTCAGGAAATTCAGTTCTTGAATATAGTCATAACATAATAGTCATATTCTTTGTAAATCACTTGGCTTTTATGGAAACATTTTAATTACAGTAATGTGTCGGGTTAATGTCAAATTGAGAGGCAATTGAATATCTGAGATAGCACGCACGATTATTATTCACTTAATAATTTATGTTAGATTGTGTGGGTATAGAACAAAAGATAAAAATATTAAAGCATTGCCACCCCTTTTATTGTTTACTAGCTGGCCCGACAGCCTTATGTCCTCGTCCTGTGGAAATGATGGAATGAAACAAAAAGTCAATGTTAGGTAGTAACAGGACCAAGGTTTGGACCATTCCTTTAAAAAAATTATAAGTCCAAAGGTGTTGTGAAGTACACAAAATACTCTAATTTACGCTAGATCGGCTGAATGTTAGCCTAACTTGTACCAATCACATTTCAGTTATCCTATTAGCCTAAACTACAAGAAAAAAATTCAAAATCCTGAGACGACTAAAACCCATAGTTTTAAACCACATGGAGTCACGCTACACTTTCACATTTGGCAGAATAAGAAATTCAAAAATTAATAAACCTACCCTTTTGTGATGCGGAGGTCTTTCCGGCAAACATATCCCTCGTAGCGGCACCTGGAGCAGTTTCTCTGGCATCCAGAACCTTAGCCTCCTTGGACTCGTGGTTGTACACTGTCATCATGAACCCTCCGCCCAGTCCCATACTGTGCATGTTGACCACCCCGTTGCAGAAAAGTGCTGCCACAGCAGCATCCACTGCTGAACCATCCTTTTTCAAGATGTCTCTGGTAAGCACAAAGTAATACTTTTCAAAACGGTTTACTTCCAGGTTTCAGTTCAAACCTAGTTGTTGTAAGGTCGTTTGGCATAGGCTGCATATTTACTTTGTAACGAGTTATTTTTCCTAGGGGGGTAAATATTTGCTATTTGGCCGCGCACCGATTGTTGAGGTAGGCAAGCGGCGGCGGCGAACCTGGCTAGCGCCCTTTGACCCGGCTTATCAGTGCTGATAAGCCTGGGATATCCTAGATCTTCAGGACAGTATAGGACGGGATTCTAGTCGTGGATCCCGGGGAGTGAAGAGCGAGCGTTTGTCGAGTGAGACGTGGAGTGTTTTGGTGACATCGGTGTCGTGTGAGATTGGTGCTCAAGGAGTGAGTGTCGGCATTCAAGTTGGGTAGTGAGACGGTGACCCACTTGTGGTGAGTGGACGACGTTTTATTATATTTTGGTTTAAGAGAGTTAGAGAGTTAGAGTTGTAACCGTGCTGGTCAAAGCCTGACGGTAGTTAGGATTTATTTACAGGTGTCAGGAATAATATTAAAGTGTATTCCTGACGGTTCTGGGCAGGTGCTAGAGCGCAAATAATATAATTTATTGACTGTAGTAGTTATTATTTTGCGTTGTACCAAGAGTTAGTTATATTACTAATAACTCTGAGGCCCGACAAACCTAGGCTGCACGATTTAGCGTGCGTAGTTGGAAGCACGAGGCCAGTAGGCTAGTAGCTAGTTTTATTAGCCTATTAACAGAAGCCCAGCTAAGCAATATAACGTTGATATAGTAGCAGTAGTGGTAGTAGCAGTAGGGTTGGTAGTGATTAATCAGTTAATTATTTTAATTGAACCTGAACAGCTTGCTTAGTAATCCAACACGTTATCTTGGTAGCTTGGATAGCGGAGTACCGGCTATCAGATAATATATTTATCTAGTGTTTGGAACGTATTTAATATTTATTTATCTGTTACTAAGTAGCTCAATAATTTAATAGTAGTGTAATTGCCATTTAGCTTTACTTGTTTGGCTTGGTATTTATTGAGACCAGCTACTAGTGGTGTAGTCACTATACCTATAGTGCACTTGTATTGTTATCTGGTATTATTATTGAGTGAACTGTTTGATTGTTAGCTTGGGCAATAGAGTTGTGTATTGGATTATAGTGGCCTAGTAGACCCCGCCTGGTGATAACTCGCGTTGTGGTTTTTATTGGCAAGTCGTCGTGTAACTCATCGTGTTTTAGGCACTCTGGGCTTAACTATTGGATAGTTAGGACGAAGCCCGAGTTGCGTAGTCAGCAACGACCCCCTAGGAGTGTGGAAAATCGGCGTAGGCCTGGTAGTGATTATTGCACGTTTGTTTTGGTGACTCGTTTTTGACTTGTTCACAGTGCCCGTGTATGAGCCAGTCCTATACCGGTTAGACCCGGCTTTTGGCCTAGTGGTTTCCCCGACCTTGTCGCAGACCCTGGAATTTTACCCAGCCATTGTAGGCTGAGCTATCCCCGGCAAACGGTTGCGACTGCACTTTTAATAATATTTTCCCAGTGCAGAAAATCATCGTCGCAAGATGGCGCCTGCGAACAGGGACTGAGGTTGGCAGTGGTGCTGAGTTGCTGACGTATTAACGGCGCCCGAACAAAATAATTTTATTTATGCAGATTTGCTGCGGACTTGTGCAGATTGGCTGCGGACCTGAGCTGTTGAGCAGAGTTTTAGGCAGACCTGCTGTGGTTTTATAGTCGCTTGGGTAGGCCTAACCTGTTTTCTGTTACAGCGTGGTGTGTTGTGAACCCTAATTTATTTAGTGGTTGTATACATAGATATTAGTTAGTAATTTTAATTTTGCTAATTAATTGAGCCTTATCATTGAATATTATTTGATTGAGAACCCTTATTGTGTATTTGTGGTTTGACTTTCACACCTATAATTGGTTTGATTTATTATAACGGTGTTAAATACATTTTAATCGGTTTCGCTCTTATTTTTGCAGATTTGTCGTGAATTTGAATTTTAAATATGGTCGAGACTACGAGTACGACGTCTGTGCTGGGCGGTACGCCTATTACGTCTGCTATTGCTACGACTAGTTCTGGGGTTAGCTCCGAACTGTCGGTGATGACGACGTCGTCATTGTGGCCTGCGTCTTCGCCTGTTTGGCCGACTATTTCATCGGTCGTGGGTACGACGGTGACAACGTCTCTGACCTATTCCGCGCCAGCGACTATGTCCTTGGGGTCGCAGCCCCGGGACGGTCGCGTGGGTTGGATATATGACCTCTCGAAAGGGGAGCTCATGAGAACGATGGACCAGTATGGTTTGGTGACCACTGGTACTTCTGCGGAATTACGGCAGCGATTCTCGTCGTTTTGGAAGCAGCGGAATGCCCGTCGGTACAGCGATGATAGGCTGTGTACGGCTGGGGCTGCTGTACCGACATATTTACTGCCGGCTACTACACCTGTGGGGCTTCTTGACCCCCCAAGAACCGTACCTCAGGTACTGGGTAGCACTGAGTCGGACCAAAGAGAGATATTCGGACTTAGCGGGGAGTTAGAGGCGGTTAAAGAGATCCTTGGGTTGTCTTCGGAGACCGATACCCGGACTCTTAGAGAACATCTGGCATCGGTGGTGCGGCAGGCGAGGGGCTCGCCGAGTAATAGGGTCGGCTATGGGTTCGGAAGACCCGCCAACCCTACGTCCCCTGTTGTGGCTGTTCCCACGCCTACCTTTGGGTTACCAAGTAGACCCGAGGGATGGCAGCGACCTAACGATCATTCAGAGAGACCAGTCCGTCCTTCTAGCTTGGAGGTGCCACGAGGCTCGGATATGCTTTTGAATGAGGCCAGCAGGGTGGAGCCGAAGGATTGCTCCAAGATATGCGACATGGTCCGAAAGTGGGGTTTAAGGTTTGATGGCCGACGAGACCCTGTGTCATTCTTAGAGCGCCTAGAAGAGCTGATGGTGTCCTACTCTATATCATCAGAGGACCTGCTCAGAGCGTTACCGGAGCTGCTGCAAGGTCCAGCACTTCTTTGGTACAGGAACTGCAAGGAGCTCCTGTATTCATTCGAAGCTTTCCGGCATCAGTTTGAAATCCAGTTCTTCCCACCAGGATATTGGAGGAACTAGAATAGAATAGAATAGAATAGAATAGAATATATATTTATTTTCTCAAAGAACTTACAATACATTGTACATCTTTCACAATTATTGTACATTAATTTTCACTTGAAGTAAAACAAAAAAAACAACTTGGTTATAATAAATATAGACTTGAAATGAAATAAAAAGTCCGTTGTTCTCACCAGGCTGACAAAAGACAAGTTACAGTAATCTGAAGCACAAAAACAACCATACTGTATGTACAATAAAAGTGACCTTTAAAATTTGAATTTGAGAAAATAATTAGGGCCTCATTAGGCAAAGCCTGTGGTTGAGGTTCCTTTACTTGCAAAATTTAATGTATACACAGAGCGATCAGATAGATATAAAAACAATACTAGTAAAAAACACAAAGGTCTCATTCGAAATCTTAACCTAAAAACAATAAATGAGAAAGACAAATGATTATTCAAAACACCTGCCACATATATGTTTGATTCTTATCTATCATGTTTGTTATCTCTGGTTTGATAACTCGAAACCACGCACTGCACTAGTGCCACCAGGCGGCTGATAGCCCCAACCCAAGGGCCGTCATAGCACACTACATACAATGTATAGACCCTGAGTGGCATAGCCCGCCAAAGTGCGTCCTTAACTGCTAAAAATACAAAGTAAGATTCTCATTTAAGATTCTAATTTAATAATATAAATAATTCATCAATATCTTCCAATTGTGAAAGCCATTTCTTTACCTTATTTAAAAACACTTTTTTGTTGTTTATTAACATTTGTACATTTTCAGGGAGTTTCTTAAAAAATTTTAGCACTATAAAACCAAATGTTTTTGTAAAAAAGGTGTTGTTGGGCTTGGAAACTAAAAACTGGTTAGGATTTCTGAGCTTAAGTATATATTCATTTTCATTCCTGGGTATTTTTTTGTAAACTGAACAAAAGAGATTCAAAGCTTTAAAAACATACAAATATTTTAAAGGAAAGATTTTGTGCTGAATGAAAAGAGGTTTTGAAGGTTCAAATCTATTTTTATATGAAATTAATCTCAAAGCATGTTTCTGTTGAATAAATAATGGTTTTGTATAAGAGTCATAAGTATTACCCCAGAAAACCAAGCCGTATTCTAGCCTACTTTGAATCAAAGCAAAATATAACATACGCAAAATTTGAGTATTACTTAGATTTCTTAAAAAATAAAAATATCTTATTGAATTGTTGACTTTGTCTTTGAGCTTTTTGATATGAATTTTCCAGCAAAGTTCTGCATCTACATGAAGTCCCAAATACTTAATACTATCAGTCTGATCTACAGTAGCACAGTTTAACATGCAGGTTGTCTGTCTACTCAAGCAAAGTGTACATTTAAATGTAATAGGATCTGTAAAATTAAAGGGTTTTATGAGGCTAAAATTAATGTATTTGGTTTTCTCTTGGAGGTTAACTTACCTTACTTAATTAACTTGGATGAGGAGATCCGGAAAAGGACACAAGGTGAAGGCGAGCATTTCCGGGACTACGTGGTTGCTATAAGTACCTTGCTTAGGCGTAGCGGTACGTTGTCCGAGCATGGTAGATTGGACTTGATCTACAACAACATGCGACCAGAGTACAAACTCATGGTGCGACGGCGGGACTTCCGCAATCTGGCCGAGATGGTTGAGTTAGCCGAAGACTACGAGGCCTATCTGCGAGAGAAGGCGGCCTTTAGACCTCCTCCTTCTCCGAACGTAGCGCTGGTTTTGGAAACCGCCTACACACCCAAAAAGAAGGTGGAGAAGCGCGCCGAAACTGCCGCCGTCGAGAAGCGGAGTTTCGAGAGACCATCTCCGGCAGCTGAGTCGCTTGGGCGGGTGGCTTCGAAGTCGGATCGGGTCCACGGTCAACGGCC